AAAAATAACAGGAAAAAAAAAAAAAAAAAAAAAAAAAAAAAAAAAAAAAAAAAAAAAAAAAAAAAAAAAAAAAGTGGTGGCAGTGTGCAGGCTATGAATTAAAGTGAGGCAAGCAGCGAAGATTCTCCTGCCTCAAAGCCAGATTTGATAGCATTGCAAAAGACGAAACCGAAGAAACAAACAAATTTTAGGGTATTAGGCAGAGAGATGCACATCGACTCCTACTTTACTCAACTTAACCTCCAAAAAATGTGTGCCTTACGCCTGCCCTCCTTTCATGCCTAGGCTTTCGCACTCATTCACTCAAACTAACTTTTCCTTTTCGAATCCGAATTTCGAAGCTACAACCGACAAGTTTCTCCAGTTTTCTTTCTCTATATTATTGCCCTAGCAGTTCCAAAGCATATACGACGACTCAAACTGATCGATAAAAGTAATTCCAGAACATACCTGAATGCCTCACCGCTCGCCGGACAGCAAATGCAAGAGAGACCGTTGTCGTTGCCGTCCGCACGATCAGGCGATGGTTCCGATGGAAATTGAAAAAGAACCGTAAACAAAATGATCCACAATCGTCTCTTCGACAAGGACTCGATCTGTAGAGTAAGTTACAGAAATGAAGAAATATTGAAGATCAAACCGATCTCTAGGGCTAGAATTGAGAGAAAAACGGAGACCGATCGCTCGTCAGCGAAGGAAAGAGGAGAGAGAAAGAGAGAAGAAGAAGAAAATGTTCAAGTACAACGACGATCTTTCACTCCGTAATTCAATCCGTATCGATTCGAAACTCGACATTCTTCTGTAGAGCTTCTCCAAACTTGATATTGAATACTCTTAATTTATATTAACAAAAAACAACAAAAACTAATTTAATTTATAAATAATAATAATTCTCGTTAAAGAAAATCATAGGAATTATTATTATCAATACAATTTATTTATTAAAAATGGGCATAATTTAATATCTCTAATGATTAGATTCTAGGTCCTCGATTAATTTGATAACTCGTAATTTTTTCGTTAGATAACCAGACCATCAATAATTAGATAAATGACCTGTGCCTAAGATATTGAACTATGCTCGGACAAACAAAGTCGAGTTCAAACCCTAGCTCGAAGTAAAAAGAGGTGTACACAACAACGCGACAATCCTTCTTTCTAGCTCCTTTCACTGAACTAAGTAAGAACTGAACCGTCAAGAAACATAAAATCTCATATCACATCTTCGAAACCGAGCACAGAAATAAGACAAACAATACAAAGACCTAACATAATTTCCTCCTGATTTTTACATCAAAAGGACATAAACGAGTATCGCATTCGATCGACGACGGTGTCTCTCGAGATTATAACGGCTCCATTCAAATAGTTGATTCAAACAAAATACCCACTTCAAACTCCAAATATCAAGCAAGTAGAGGCATTCAATGTTAAGGCCAGTTTTAGAACAATAAATGAATTAGGTCAATTTATGCTCACTTCATACCCCACAGGACACTTGACCTATGAACAACAGACAAAAACAGAAGCAAACATGTCAAAAATGAAAACACCAATAATTCAACATTTTAGGCTATGAACAATAAGGTAAAGAACCAATTCAAACAACCCAGATGAAAACGGGGTCGAACCGAGCAAGATCGACAAAGAACAGTACTTGAAAAAACACTAGAACAGAAGGGAAACAAGGATTTTTTGGATTGAAAACGAAGGAATTTCATTGGATATATCAAAATTGGACACAACAAATTGGTCGTAGCCTAAAGGAACAAGAACAGTGAAGAAACAAGACATGATATTCAACGCTTTCAGCAGCTCAAACTGTGCTGATGATTGTGACAACTGAGCAGCCGGATGAGCTAAAAGAGTAAAGAACATCACCAAACAATGAAATTCAGGATTCTCAGCTTCTCTAAAACATGGAAAAAGAGAACCAAACTGTACCAAATCGACCAACCATACAAAAAGCAGAAGGTTTCAACTGAGATTGCTTTGAAAAAAACAAGCAATTGTTAGGCATATGAGTGAACAGTAGTGAGCGCACACGCAAGAAAAATATGAACACAAGAAATGAAATGGCACAAATTCCTATGATTATGAACTGTTCATAATGGTAAAATAATGGAAGAAAACTGTAGATTGATCATAAATTTAACGGATATTAAGAAAGGATTGGTTAGTAGAAATATGATATCATAAATCAGATGAAATTACACATCTGCTGGTTCTTTTTTTGAAATTGTGAAGAGAATCAGTATGAAATTTATCAGCTGATTTGATTACCGTAGTTTGAACCGCCGAGAAAACATGGAGCGCCGCCGCCAGTGGCGGCAGCATTGTAAACGTCCGATGGATCAACAAGCGGAGAAGAAGAAGAAACGCCATTCCGATTGTTTCTGGTTAATCCACCGCCGTCACCTAAATGCAATTCCGAAACATTCGGAAACTCATCTCCTGGTTCAACGCCTTGATCGTACAAAAATCCTTTGAAGATATGTCCGCCGATTTTAACTACCGCTTGATAAGCGTATTCGTCGTCGCCGTCGTCCACCGCCGTGACTCTCACGCACTTGAAAACCGCCGGTGCACGTACTTGCCCTGGTAATGCCTCAGGAAAACCAGCATCTGAACCAAACGATTTAATGATAAAATTAGTTTCAAATGGAAATTGAAGTAATTACGTAATTTAGGGTTTGATTTAATTCACCTTGGTGGCTGGAGCTCGTATCGAGGCTTCTCGGCGGCGTCGTATTGGAAGTGGAAGTCCGAGAAGTGGTTTGCGAGGCGATGAGTCGGGGTTTCTTCGCGCCGGAGGTGGAGCCGGATGAACCAGCAGCGGCGTTAGCGGCTACCCCCATTAGTTGCCGCTCTCGCCGTCGCGCTGCAGGAACCCACGTGCTCTTCACGTGAGTAGTGCAATCGAACCCTCGGCTTCGACAACAAGTTCTGCAGCGTCTATGACTACAATCCTTCTTCGCTTGGTTACCACAGTCCTGACACGTGGTCGTCGCCGATGACGACGAAGCTAAGCCGCCGGTGATACCGATTCCGTCGTCGATAAGTCCATTGTTAGCGGCGGAGGGATTATGGAGGTGATTATCCAGAGACGACGGCATTTTCTTCAAATAATGATTCTGTTGCCATAGCTGAATCCCTCCGCCTCTGTTACTACTCCGATTACTCAATAGATTATCTTCCTCAACGCCGAGGCAGGGACCGGCAGTGAGTAAGGGAATAACGCCGACGCCGAGAGCGGTGGCGGGGTTAGAGACAGCGAGGGAATGAGGATCTGAGAGGAGGTTATTGTCGTGGGGGTGAGGATTAGGGTTGAAAGAGGAAGCCGGTGCAACGACAAACACATCTCGGAGGCCAACCATGCTCATTTCTGATCCAAGGCCGTAATTAAGAGACCTCTGAGAAGCAGCGGCGGCGGACCACATGGAGGCGGAGGGTACAACAGGAGGGGGAGGAGTAGGGCCGGCATTGAAGCCGAGAGAGAGATCATCAGGGGCGGAACGAGCGGCGGAGGAAGAGGAAGCCGCCCAGTCTGCAAAAGCACCGGAATCAGAAGGTAACCTCCTTGTAGTAGCCACAATTTAAATACGGAAAATCAGAGGAAGAAATTAAAATTAAAATTAATAAATTAAGGGTTTGAAGATTAAAAAAAAATTGGGATCGGGGAATTCAATCTATTTAGGCGTTATATGGGAAGTGGGGTCTGTCTGAATCTGTAGCAGAG